AAAGAAAAAAGCCAGAAGTGGTGCTGTGGCTCAAGTGGTAGAACACTATCCTTGAGCTGAAGAGCTGAAGGACAGCAGTGCCCAGGCCCAGAGTTCAGGCCCCACGACCAGACCCCCCCCCCAAAAAAAAAAAAAAGTTCAGGGACAGCACCTAGGACTGATACATACACAAATATATACATACATGCATACATACATTCAAAGGATATTTGTTTTTTCTTCCTTCCTCCTAACCTAGAGTGAACACAAATGGATCAGATGACCCTGATGATTCAGGGTCTGGTGAAAATAGGAGAACCAATGGGAACAATTCTCCATCACTCTCCAATGGTGGGTTTAAGCCTTCTAGACCTCCAAGACCTTCACGACCACCTCCACCCACACCTCGAAGACCAGGTGTGTACCTTAGCTTTCAATACCATTTTGTAAATAACATTCTGTTTGGTTATTAATCCACAAGATATCAATTACTAGCTTTTCTGAAGTCAATTTACTGATTGTATGTGTGTGTGTGTGTGTTACATTTCAGATTTGTGTTCAGAAAGATCTTTGAGTAGATAACCCAGAAAATAAGTGCCTTTGTCCTAAGTTTTTCTTCCAGGAGTGAAGTTACGGAAACATTGCTCTATTGAGAATGAAAATTGAATAATTGAAAATAAAGTATTGACTACAGATAAGATTGTAACTTTTTAGCATGATTTGTAACTGTAAGACATGTAAGAATGTCTTATAGTCATTAATTTGGTTGCTTCCCATATTGTCCTTAGAAAGATGACCGTGGTAAATGGTAATCAGATTTTGAACCAACAACTATGCAACAAATAAACGTATTTCATGTAGTAAAACTGTAAACACAGGCAGAATATTCATTTTTCTATTTAGCTATAACAAATATTCACTTAACATTTTTTTTTTTTTTTGTCGGCCGTGGGGCTTGAACTCTGGGCCTGGGCTGTCCCTGAGCTCTTTAGCTCAAGGCAAGTGCTCTACCACTTGAGCCACAGCCACAGTGGTACTTCTGGTTTAGAGTGCTTTCCTATCATGTATATGGTCCTAAGTTGATCACCAGCACCACAAAAACCAATTAGTAAAATCATTTTAACTTCCTGTGGTATCATGAAATTAGAATCTATATATGCATGATAATTAATAATGAGACATAGGTTAGACCAGAGCTAAACCATGAACAAAGGAGATATTGCCATCTCTATTATTTTTCTTTCATTTTCTTTTTTTTTTGGGGGGGGTGAGTCTGGTCGTGGGGCCTGAACTCTGGGCCTGGGCACTGTCCCTCAGTCTTCAGCTCAAGGCGAGTGCTCTACCACTTGAGCCACAGCGCCACTTCCAGCTTTTTGCTTATGTGGTGCTGAGGAATCGAACCCAGGACCTCATGCATGCAAGGCAAGTGCTCTACCACTGAGCTACCTTCCCAGCCCCTTTTCTTTCATTTTCATCTGCATCTTTTGGCCAGTCCTGGGGCTTGAACTTAAGCCTGGGTACTGTCCCTGAGCCTTTGCTCAAGGCTAGCACTCTACCACTTGAGCCACAGTGCTACTTCTGGCTTTTTCTATTTATGTGGTGCTGAGGAATAGAACCCAGGGCTTCAAGCATGCTAGGCAAGCACTCTACCACTAAGCCACATTCCCAGCACCTTTCATCTGCATCTTAAGTTTGTTCAACATTACCTTTTGCTTATTTGTTTTTTATGGTGGTGTTGGGTTTGAACTGGTATCTTGCTTGTTCAGTTTGATCCACAGTTCCACCCTGGCTTTTTGTTAGTTGTGTTATTTCGGAGATGAAGTGTTATGGATGCTTTTTTTTTTTTTTTTTTTTGCCCAATCTGACTACCAACCTTGAAATCTGGTGAGATCTAACCCTCCCGAGGAGCTAGGATTATAGGTGTGAGCCACTGGTGCCTGGCACTACCTTTTTTTTTCTTTAAGATTCTATTCTGATTTTAGATTTCAGAGCATAAAAAATTCTTTTCATTTTTTTTCTCCAAATCTATAGCATCTGTCAATGGCTCACCATCTACCACTTCTGAAAGTGATGGATCTAGTACTGGTTCTCTACCATCAACAAATACAAATACCTCTGAAGGAGCAACATCTGGATTAATAATTCCTCTAACTATTTCCGGAGGCTCAGGTCCTAGACCATTAAATACTGTAACTCAAGCTCCCCTACCACCTGGGTAAGTAACTTTTTTGGTTAATATTTATTTTCTCTATCTGCATATACTCAATAGAAAAAGTAACACTGCATTCTCTTGTCATCTTCAAGCAATTGTAATTGATTTAGGGGAATGGAGAGTCAAAGCTTATCACATTTGAAATACTTGTAATTCTAGCTATTCAAGAGGCTGAAATTTGAGGATCATGGTTTCAAACCAGCCCAAGCAAGGAAGTCTGTGAGACCTCCTGCCTTCCCCCCCCCCCGCCCCAGTTGAACTTGGCCTGGGTGTTCACTGTCTCTAAGCTCTTCAAGCCCAAGGTGAGACTCTTAACACTTTGAGCCCCAGTGCCATTTCCTGTTTCTTGGTGCTTAATTGGAGATAAGAATCTCATGGACTTTTCTGCCCTGGCTGGCTTCAAACCATAATTTTCAGATCTGAGTAAGATTACAGGTGTGAGCCACCAGCGCCCAGCTCTGTGAGACTTTTATTTCCAATTAACCAGCAAAAAGCCAAAAATGGAACTGTTACTCAGGTGGTAGAGTTCCAGCGTTGTACACAGCTCTGAAGGACTATATTTAGGCCCTGAGTTCAAATCCTAGAACCAACACCAAAAAATGTAAAAGAAAAAGATCTTCTCATTTCCTAGAAGAAATAAAAGTGCTTTGGGGTGTTTTTGTTGTTTTTGAGACACGATCTTGTGGCCCAAACTGGCCTTAAACTTGAGATCCTCTTGTACCTACCTCCAAGGATAGGATTACAGGCCACCACATCTAGCCTAAGAATTTTTTTAAAACTAAAAAACCTTGAACCATAGAAAAATAATCAAGGCCAAGTAATAAGCTAGTCACTAATTCAGACAATATTTTTTCTTTTTTTTTTTTTTCTTTTGTTTTTTTGGACAGTCCTGGGGCTTGAACTCAGGGCCTAGGCACTATGCCTTAGCTGCTTTTTACTGTTTGAGCCACAGCACCACTTTTTGCTTTTTCTGAGAAGTTTATTGGAGATAGGAGTCTCACAGACTTTTCTGCCCTGGCTGGCTTCCAACTACAATTCTCAAGATCTTGGCCTCCTGAGTAGCTTGTATCATAGGTGTGAACCACTGGCTTCTGCCTAAATCTTGATCTTCCTATTTATACTTCCCATATGGCAGGGTGACAGGTTCATTATTATTGGCTTCTTATTGGTTGAGATGGGGCTAAAACCTCCAGATCTTAGTCTTCTAGGTAACTAATATTACAGGTATACGTCACCACACACACAGCTTCTTATTAGTATTTTTAATTTTGTGTTTAAGGTGGGAACAGAGAGTGGACCAGCATGGGCGAGTTTATTATGTAGATCATGTTGAAAAAAGAACAACATGGGATAGACCTGAACCTCTACCTCCTGGGTAAGTATCTGAATTAGAAAAGAAAAAACATTGTTTATTCAAAGGTATTAATTACGTCTGTACAAAATCTTCCCCTATATGCTGTGTTACTGATTTACATCTCCTTATCAGTCCTTTCTCTGCATTTTTATTTTGTGGTAGGCACAAAATAGAATGAAGAGAGCAAGAGAGCTGGAGAGTTGATTCAGAGCCTGACTTTTTTATTATTATTTTTTGGTCCGTCATGGGGCTTGAAGTCTGGGCTTGGGCACTGTCCCTGAGCTTTTCAGCTTAAGGCAAGCGCACTACCACTTGAGCCACAGTGCCACTTAAGAGCCTGACTTTTTTTGGGGGGGGGGTGAGTGGGCAGAACTGGGCTTGACTTTCTTGCCTGGGCTGGGTTTGAACTGTGATCCTCATATTTCAGCCTCTGGAGTAGCTAGGATTACAAGCTGGTGCCCAGCTTGTCCTGAATTTTTTTGCTCAAGGCTAGTGCTCCACCATTGGAGAGCTCTACCACTGGAAGCTCTGCTTCCAGCTTTTGTGGTAGATAATTAGAGATAAAAGTTTCACGGACTTTCTTGTCTGGGCTGGCTTTGAATCATGATCCTCAAATCTTAGCCTCTTGAGTAGCTAGGATTAGAGGCATGAACTACCAGCACCCAGCTTCAATTGCCTTTTTTGCTTAGGCCTGGCATTCTGCCACTTGAACCATACCTCTACTTCTAGTTTTTTTCTGGCTAATTGGAGATAAAAGCTTCTCAGATTAGTCTACCCAGTCTGGCTTCAAACTTCAATCCTTAGATTTCTACCGTGAGCCACTATTGCCTAGTTTCACTCATTTCTGATTTATAGATTCCATAGTTCACATGTTGGCATGGCTCAAGTGGTAGAAAGGCAAGACCCTGAGAACAAAGTTTAGGACTGCTACCCCCTCAAAAAAACAGAAAAAGCTAGCATAGATTCCATAGTTGATGTTCAGTAAATTTTACTATCCAATTATTTACCTAGCCACAAAGTTAATTCCTTCCTTCCTTTCCTCCTTCTTCCTTCTTTCCTTTCTTCCTTTTTTCTTCCTTTTCTCCTTCCCTCCTCCTTTACTTCTCTCCTTCATTCTTGTGCTGATACTGGGCCTTTGAACTCAGGACCTAGGCACCATCCCTTCACTTTTGTACTCAAGGCTGATGCCCTAATACTTGATGGACAACTCCAGTTCCATCTTTTGCTGATTGCTTGGATATAAGGGTCACATGGACTTTCCTGCTTGGGCCTGATACACAGATCTCTACCTTCTGAATAGCTAGGATGATAAACATGAGCCACCAGTATCTGGCTTAGTATTAGTTTCTTCAGAGTAATTATTGCAAGATGCTGGTGGCATTAAATCTGTAATCCTAGCTACTTGGAAGGTTGAAATATGAGGATTGTGGTTCGAAGCCAGCCCAGGCAGGAAAGTCCATGAGAATTGTATTTCCAATTAACCAGCAAAAAGATGTATGTGGAAGTATGGTTCAAGTGGTAAAGGGCCATCTTTGAGTGATAAGGCTAAGAAAGAGCATGAGATTCTTGAGTTCAAGTTCGTTTCTGCACGTGTGCACACATGTGTGCACACACACAAAAGTAATTAGTTAGCTGAATAAGAATTACAGCTTTTATGATATATTAAAACAAAGTCCCTAGTTTGTTTTTTGTTTGTTTGTTTGTTTGTTTTGGGGGGGTCCGGTCATAGGGCCTGAACTCTGTCCCTCAGCTCTTCAGCTCAAGGCTAGCGTTCTACCACTTGAGCCACAGCGCCACTTCCAGTGTTTTTCTTTTTGCTTATGTGCTGCTGAGGAATCAAACCCAGGGCCTCATGCACACAAGGCAAGCGCTCTACCACTGAGCCACCTTCCCAGCCTAAAGTCCCTAGTTTGTAAAAAAAAAAAAAAAACTAATATGTGTTAGTGTTGTCATAGCAAAATAGTTGAGAAACTTAAAGATATTAATGCATGGTGTTAAGCACTTAAAATAATTGGAAGAAATGATTTATTTTTTTATTTTTTTTAATTTAAAAAAAGTTTTTGTCAGCTGTCAGGCCTGAACTCTGGGCCTGGGCACTGTCGCACTGTCCCTCAGCTCTTCAGCTCAAGGCTAGTGCTCTACCATTTGAGCCACAGCGCCTATTCCTGCTCTTACTGCTTTTATAGTGCTGAGAGATCTAACCCAGGACCTCATGCAAGGCAAGCACTCTACCACTGAGCCACCTTCCCAGCCCAAAAAGATATTTTTAATTTAGAAGAAAGTATATAACAAGTATGGAAAAGTGTTTTACCTTGATAATAATTTTAAAGACACACTTAAAAGACAACTGTTTTACTTAGTATTACAGATAGTATCAAGTGTTAGTGAGGAACTTTACCCTATAATTTTGTTAGTAATATTATATATTTGCTTCAACTGTTACACAAAACTATTCTTAAAAATATATAGCCTGAGTCGAGCCTCATAGGGGGCCAGCCTTGAATGAAAAAGCTATGTGAATATACAGGCTCACACCTGTATATTCCCAGCTACTCAGGAAGCTGAGATCTGAGGATTGAGGTTTGAAGCTGGCCTGGGCAGCTTCCAATTAACCACTCAAAAAGCAGAAGTAGTGCTGTGGCTCACTTGGTAGAGCATTAGCCTTGAGCACAAAGAAGCTCAGAGACAGCACCCTGGCCCTGAGTTCAAGCCCCACAACTGACAAAAAAAAAGCTAACTGAGAATGTGAGGTCCCAAAGTCAGGCCCCAGTATTGGCATACGCATACATGCATGCATGCACGTGCACACACATACACACGCACACACGCGCACACACACACAAATATAATGGATATATCCTTAGTAATTCTCTGTAGGAATTTTATCGTGGAGAAATAATTTAAAGGAAGAAAGTAAAAAAGTTTGATTATGAAAGGTATTTACTATTTTATTATAATACCAGAATATTGGAAGCAATTCTAATAACCAACTAGGTAGAAATAAATTTATTGTATCAATTTTTACTTAAGTAATGTTAGTAGAAAAGGTAGTTGCATTCTTGTGTGAAGTGCTTTTTTCATTTCCAATTTATGCCCTTACGATTGCAACAGTAAAAAAAAATCATTGGAAAAATACTCTTTATATTAATGACTCTTAGGTTTACTTAGTAAATATACATTGTTTTTAAGACCTTACCTAATGAATCTTAAGAACTCATAAATTTAAAATTTTGGAAACATTTTTAAGTTTACTTGTACGCTATTTGCGAAAGAAAATGTGAAAGACTTTAGGTAAATCAGAAGTAATCTCCAAGTAAAATATCTGTTTTATAAGTATTTGTTATATTAGTTTGTTTTTGTTTTGATTTAGCTGGGAGCGGCGGGTTGACAATATGGGACGTATTTATTATGTTGACCATTTTACAAGAACAACAACATGGCAGAGGCCAACACTGGAATCTGTCCGCAACTATGAACAATGGCAGCTACAACGTAGCCAACTTCAAGGAGCAATGCAGCAGTTTAATCAGAGATTTATTTATGGGGTGAGTAGCTTGTTGATTTGTTTCTGTCTGTTCCTTCATTTCTTGCTCTCAGGATGGCCTTGAACTCACAGTCCTCCTAACAGTAGCCTCACGAGTGCTGGAATTATAGATATATGCCACTATGCCTGGCTCGTTTTGTTAGCTAATGTAACCAATGGAAATATTCTTTTTTTTTCTTTTTTTAATGTGCAAGCACAGGGACTTGAACTCAGGGCCTTGCACTCTTACTTCGCCTTTCCCACTCAAGCTTGGCACTCTATCACTTAAGACATACCTTCATTCATTTCCAGCCTTGCCTGGCTAATTGAGTTTCTTGGATTTTTCAAGGATCTTCATACTGCAATCCTCAAATCTCAGCTTCCTGAGTAGCTTGGATTACAAGAGTAATCTACTTGCACCTGGCAGTATTTCATTTTTAAACTTTTCCTGCATATGTCATGTAAAGCACTAAAAAAAGTACAAGGCAGGGGCTGGGAAGGTGGCTCAGTGGTAGAGCGCTTGCCTTGCATGCATGAGGCCCTGGGTTCGATTCCTCAGCACTACATAAGCAAAAAAAAAAGCCGGAAGTGGTGCTGTGGCTCAAGTGGTAGTGCGCTAGCCTTGAGCTGTAGAGCTGAGGGACAGCGCCCAGGCCGAGTTCAGTCCCATGACTGGACTCCCAAAAAAAAAAAAAAAGTACAAGGCAGGTGACAACCCAGTAGTTGCTACTAATAAATATTGTGTTTGGAACAGTCTGCGAACACAATCTGTCTTTTTTAATTTTTTTGTTGGTCATGCAGCTTGAACTCTGGGCCTGGGTGCTGTTCCTGAGCTCTTCAGCTCAAGGCAAGTGCTCTTCCACTTGAGTCATAGCACACTTCCAGTTTTCTGGTGGTTAATTGGAGATAAGAATCTCACAGACTTTACTGTCCTCAGATCTCAGCTGAGTAGCTGGAATTACAGGAGTGAGCTGGTAGGCACCTGGCACAATCTGTCTTTTCTGTAAAGGAAGTCCAGTTTTCTTTTGGGTACTTGTAGGGCTTGAACTCAAGGCCTGAGTGTCATCCTTAAGCTTTGTTTTTGTTTTTGTTTTGGGTCCGGTCATGGGACCTGAACTCTGGGTCTGGGTGCTGTCCCTCAGCTCTTCAGCTCAAGGCTAGTGCTCTACCACTTGAGCCACAGTGCCACTTCCGGCTTTTTTCTTTTTGTTTATGTGGTGCTAAGGCCTCAGGCATGCAAGGCAAGTGCTCTACCACTGAGCCACCTTCCCAGCCCCTTGTTTTCGTTTTGTTGTTTTTTTTTTCTTTTCTTTTTTGCCAGTCCTGGGGCTTGACTTCAGGGTCTGGGTACTATCCCTGAGCTGCTTTTCATTCAAAGTTAGCACTCTACCACTTCTGGCTTTTTTTTGTGTGGTATTGAGGAATTGAACCTGGGGCTAGGTAAGCACACTACCATGAAGCCACATTCCCAGCCCCCCTAAACTTTTTTGCTCAAGGCTAGCACTCTACCACTTGTACTATGAAGGAGAAAATGTAAACCTGGATTGGAAGTAATCCAAAGAAAGTAACCCAAAAGACCACGTGGACAGAAGTTAAGTAGTAGAAAACATTTATTGCCAGCAGAGCTGACAAGGCCAAGTTCTCATGAGGAAAAGGAGAAAATGGTGCCATCTGGCTCTTTGGAGGCCCCTTTTATATTGGAGGTCAGAAGTGAGAGGTGCTTCACCTACTGCTCAGGTGCTGCCATCAAGGGCAGAGATTAGGCCTGCAAAGTGGGCATTTCCTTACATTTTTCCCCTTTTTGGTTTAGTATGTATAGTACTGGGCAGGGAATATGGGTGAAGGTCTCTTCTGGAGCTACTTCCTGCTGAGAGGGGGCACTGTAAGGGGAGAAGAGGTGCTAGGTACTGTACATGAAGTTGACCAAGGTTATGATGGTTATAAAGATGTTACTTGTCCAGAGCAGAGTCCTCTGGTTCCTCGATGACTGGAGAAAGGGGTCCAATTGGCCAGATGTATATGAGGGTCCATCAGGCACATGATGTTTAATGTGCCGGATGTGAATCCAGTGTGGACAGCCCTGAACCTGCACAGCTGTGGGAGTAGAGAGAGTTAGGGTCCCTCCCACTTAGCAGAGAGCTTGGTGGAACCAGGTGCCCATGGCAGGTAATTTCTTGAAATGTACACTAGGTCCCAGCCTTGATGGAAGGCTCGGAGAGCAGTGTGGAGGGCTTAGGTTCTTAGTGGTCCACATACTTTCACAGAAAAGTGTGCAGGTGTTGAAGGAGAGAGGACAGCATTGGGGCAGAGGGGGGAGTGGGGGGGGGAGGAGCGGCGCAAAGGGGAGTCTGAGGTCTGAAATAAGGGAGGCAAAGATGAGCAGCCATACATAACTTCAAAAGGACTTAATGTTAGGGTTTATTTTTGGCAGGACCCTTAAGTGGAAGAGAGCTAAAGGTAAAAGTTTTACCCAATCTAGATCTAGTTCAAAGGACAGCTTGGTCAGAGTTTGCTTAAGGGAGCAGTTGGCACATTCCACCTTTCCCGAGGACTGGGGGCGATAGGAATATTGAAAGACCACGAGATATTTAGAAACTTAGCCAGTAGCTGGGTCATGGAGGAGACAAATTCCAGTCCGTTGTCTGTCTGGATGGAAGCAGGCAGGCCAAAACGGGGAATTATTTCCTGTAAGAGATGCTGAGACACAGAGGAGGCTTTCTTGGTGGTGGTGGGAAATGCCTCTATCCATCCCATAAAGGTGTCCACCAGCACCAGCAGGTATCTGACAGTTGGCATATGGGTGAAATCAATTTGTCAGTCTACTCCCGGGAGATGGCTGCACATTGGCATTTAGATTTGCCCTTTGGCATACTTCTCTGGTTTGTGACAGATGCATGAGGAATTGCGTGTGGGCCAGGGTTAGGGGAAGGCTGTTTTAGGAACTCCCTTAAGGCCCCTATCTGGGGGTAGAAAAGATGGTGAAGGTATTTAAGGTTGTCTTACCTAGAGGGAGGAGCAGGATCCTCTATTATTGGCAGTGTTACTGCCCATTGTTTTGACGATATAGCAGCTCGCTTGGCAGTTTCATCGGCCAGGTTGTTTCCCTTGGTTATTACTGAGCCATCTGACCTGTGGCTCCTGCAATGAACTATGCCAATGGCTGAGGGGAGGAAAGAGGCCTTTAAAAGGTCAGTAATATAGGACCCATTTATTACTGAGGTTCCTTTCATTGTTAATAAGCCTGGTTCCTTTCAAATAGGTGCATGAGAATGGATGGTATGGAAAGCAAATTTAGAGTCTGTGTATACTGTCAGGGAATGTCCTGAGGCCAGGTGGAAGACCCATGTTAGGGCTACCAATTCGGCCTGTTGATTGGTAGTGTGGAGAGGCAGAGGGCCAGACTCCGCTACACCAGAGACTGACATAACAGCATGCATACCCAGCTACACGTGAGCCTTCCCAAAGGAAGAAGCTACGATTAGTGAACCAGGTGAAACGTGAGTCCTTTAATGGCCCCTCACTAATATGGTCTGGGTGAGGTAGCAGGTCCTTTAGAGTCTCCACACAGGAGTGTGCTGTGAGATCCCTGTATCTGGAATGGTTAATAGGATAGAGGGGCTTCATGGAGGACAGGACTGGAAGGTTAGTGTGGGGTCCTCTACCAGCGACACCTGAAGGGAGAGAATATGGGAGGGAGACATAGTTTGTAATTCCTTATAGGTTAGTAACTCAGAGAGGTGATGGTGGGAGAGGATGGTAAGGTTTGCACCAAAGGTTAGTTTTTTCAATTCCTGTAACAGGACAGAAGAGGCAGCTAGAACGTGAAGACAAGGAGCCCAGCCCCTAGTGCTGGGCGTTTCGACAAGTAAGCAACCAGAGCAAATGAAGATCTAGTCTGTTGACCTAAAACTCCCAACGCAAAACCCTGGTTTTCAGTTACATACAGAAAGAACGGGTGTGAAAGATCTGGCAGCCTGAGAGCCGTGGCCTGTAATAAGGCCCATTGGACTCTCCTAAAGGGAGGAATAAGAGAGGAGGGAGATAAAAGGGGTTCTTCTGGTTGCCCTTTAGCTGCTTCATATAGGGGACGTGTTAGAAGAGAGTAGTTAGGAATCCAAGACCTGAGATAGCCAGCTAGACCCAGGAAGGAGAGAAGCTCCGACTTAATGGAGGGGGTAAGGGTAGTTAGTAATCAATTGTTTCCTGGGGATAGTGATTGCCTTGTGTGTGGGAGTGAGTTGAACACCCAGGTAAGTCACAGACTGTTGAACGACCTGTATCTTATTGGGTGAGACTCAATATACCCAGGAGGCCAGAAAGTTAAAAAGTGTGTATGCTTGTAACACAATTGCTTGGTGGGACTGCAGGGGAGAATATCATCCACATATTGGATAAGGGAGGATGGTTCTATATTTAGGTCTCTTAAGTCCCTTGCTAAAGCTTGGCCAAACAGATGGGGACTATCCTGGAACCCCTGAGGCAGCACAGTCCAGGTGAGCTGAGCTGAGGTTTGGGTGACCGGGTCAGTCCACGTAAAGACAAGAAGGTCCTGGGAGGAGGGGGCTAAAGGGATAGTGAAAAAAGCATCTTTTAATCCAATACTGCATAAAAAGCAACCGTCGCTAGGATTGTGGAAAGCAGCATACAGGGGTGGGACACAACAGAGTGTAGGGGATAACAGCAGAATTTTTTTGGGGTTCGGTCGTGGGGCCCAAACTCTGTGCCTGGGCACTGTCCCTCAGCTCTTCAGCTCAAGGCTAGCGCTCTACCACTTGAGCCACAGCGCCACTTCCGTTTTTTTTCTTATGTGGTGCTGAGGAATCAAACCCAGGGCCTCATGCATGCAAGGCAAGTGCTCTACCACTGAGCCACCTTCCCAGCCCAACAGCAGAATTTATAAGGCTAAGGTCTTGTACCAAGCAGAACGAATCGTTAGTTTTGGCTACTGATAAGATGGAGGTATTATAGGAAGAATTGGTGGGGTGTAACAGCCCTTTTCTTAGTAAGTCCTTTATAATTAGT